TTTTAAGAACCAAAATTTTCCTTGCTACAGAAGGCTTTGACCAAGTGAGGTGTGAAGTAGCCACCTGAAGGCGTTGATTTTGTCAGTGTGAACTTCCTTCCCTCTCGCCGCTCTGCGCATGGGTCGCGTTGGCTGAGTTTTAATTAACATTTTTATTTAATTGACATGTATCTCATTGGCTTTTGCCTGGAAAATGGATTCTTTTTTAAGGAAGATGGAGGAAATATTTTTTTTGTTTGCAATTGGAATAAGAAAGATGTGAAATATAGTTAGACTATCCCAGATTGCATGTTACGAGTGGTTATCTCCTTGCCTATATCAGTATCTAATAAAAGGTTTCATACGGTATGAAAACGCCCTAATGCAGGCTTGAGCAAACAACTTTAATAGTATCAAGAGTCTTTTAGGCAGCAGTGGGAAGTGTGAGTTGGCCTCAGAAATTAGCTTTAATAAAAGGCACTCCTCACTTCTTTGCTTTCTGCTTTTTTCTTCTCTAATAAGCATTAACTAGCATGCAAAACCCTGTGTGAACGATGTGGGATGGGGGAATAGCAGCGCCCTGAGCCTTTCATCAAAGGGATATCAAAGCCTTCTGCAGCTGAACCTGGGAGGGATATGAATATGCTTATTTGGACAGTTGGGGCAGCACTGAGGGTAAGCGATTTCTTCAAGGTAAAGCAAGCTGGTTAAGGAGCTCGTACTGCAAATTCTTTCATCAACTCATTCAAGTATTTTTTGAACACAGTTCTCCCATCTTGTTCACGTTTTTTTCTTTTTTCCCCCCAGATAATTAAAATGGAGCTTGGTAGCTCGTGACCGTGTCCTTTCCACAGTGACAATAAGGTGACATTTTTAGATGGGGACTGTTTGTTTGTTTGGTGTCGGCTTATGCTGAGAAATTGTAAAACAGTTGTGAAAATGATGTAGTGTCACAGGGCATTTCAGCTGTAACCTGGAAATTGGCCAGGGCATTAACCTCCACTGTCCTACCTCCTTTACCATCCATTTAAATGGTTCCGGAGCTGGGAGTTGGTTCCTGTGAGAGCTGACAGTGCACCTTTTCTGAGTGAGAATTTCACTTGTTTGCTCCCATTTTGTCAAAGTTAGATCCTTTAGTATAGTTGAGATGTAGTACCTCAGTAGCAGGAATTGGTAATCTACCTCCATAACTGCTTTGTTTGCTGCCGTAATAATTCTCTCTTTGATTTATGCATCAGATCTTTAAAGAAAAGTGTCTTGAGCTGTAATTCTAGAGTTGGGCATGCCCCTTTTTAATATTAATATGATCTCCTAGTGCTAGAATGAAGAGAATAGAGATTTATTTCTCCACCCTGTCAAGAAACTGGTTGAAACAATTTGCACATCACAGAGAAGGTGCTCAGGGGAAGATCGGGGCTGGAGCTCTGGTCTGACGCCCTGTCTGATACCGCACGGCTCCACTGCTGCTCCAGCGCTAGGCAAGGCAGCTGCTGAACTGCCGTCCAGTGGCCAACAAGACCATGCAGAACCTCCGCTGCTTTCCTCCTCCTCACCTCCAGAAATTGGAATTTATCATTGCACAGCTATTTTACTGGTTTTTCCCTCTTTTGGGAACAGTAGGAAACCTTTAAAAACAAACTCTGTGTGTACTGGTAAACAGTAATGAAGATGGCCACTGGTGTCAGTACTGAAAAAGAAGTTGAAAAATTCTTAAATATACTTAAATATTCTTGCTCCGTTTAGAAGGGGAGGGGAGAGCTTACGCAATCACTTCCATCTCCTGGGGAGGAAAAGGCTGAATTTGGTACTTCCCTTGTCAGAACTTCTCGTCTTTGCATACACAAATAAAACCATTAAGCCTCTGCCTCGTGACTTGTTCTGGAGGGGACTCTGCAAAGGGGAAGGGTAGGGTTCTGGGCCCCTGGGTGGCTGAGGTGGCCCCTGGGTGGCCGAGGTGGCCCCTGGGTGGCCTGGTGGCTGGAGCAGCCGCGCCGGGGGCTGGCGGGTAAGAAGCCGAATCACGCGATCTTCAGGGAGCAACGGAGAGCATAACCTTGTACGCTTTCTAGCTTGGCAGAGAGCTGATTAATAACATTAACTCTTGCTGTGCGGGTGCGTCCGCTGGTGTAAGAACAAGTGGTGTTCCTGTGGAAAGGAAAATCGCTTCACCGGTGAAATTGCTTGAAGATGCTAGTCTCGCGTTTAGGCTCTAAACTGGTTTGTGTGACTCGCTCGCTAGGCTTCAGATGTACAAGCGCTAGCTGGCTGTCGCTTGCTCCTGTTAGCAAGGCAGAAACAGCAGTTCCCGCGGCTGCCTGTCCCTCAGTGACACGAACACGTTGGCGTTAAGGCTGATGTCACGCGCGCGATCAGCACCTTCTCGCTCTGCGTGAGGTGGGCCCTTTCCCTGCGGAGACTTTGATGTGGCTATAGCGAGCTCGAGTTGAACCAAACCCAGATTCGACAGGTTCAATTAGCTGTAGGTAGAGCAAAGCCGAGGGTGCTAAAGGGAGTAATTTGATTATTTTTTTTTAATTGTTTTTTTAAAGCTCCTATGTTTAATTGGCAGCTCAGGAAGCACACATTTTTCAGTCTTTAGATGGATAAGGATCCAAAGAACAAACACACACTAGCAGTGGGAGACTCCTCCTGACTAAACAGAACGTACCTTACCCGAGTAGTAAACTGTGAACTGGCAAAATATAATTGCCACAAAAATAAATGTGCCTTGGTATTGTAATGGGAAAGCCTTAAACTTCATGTTTCTATTTATTTTTATGCTGATGGAAAACACTTCATATACCAGCCCCCAGCTTGGCGGTGGTTCTGGGCTTTGGAAGGCTGTTCTGGTCTTTTATTCCCCAGTGTCAGTTTTGAAGCTACCACTGAGATACAAGGATAAAATGTAAAGACACCGTTCCAGGAATTTCACAGATTTCTCTTCCCTCCCCCTGTACAACTTGCACGGCTCTGGGCTCTGATTTGATAACAGTACGAGGCAGCAATGAAATGAGTTATACGGGAAAAATAGGTTGTGTGTGGAGAACTCTGCAGTAACAAAAGCTCTGCCTGGTCAGCGCAGTACTTCGTGGCACAGGGAAGGCTGGGAAGGAAGGAAGGAAGGAATGAATGAATGCTGCGCTCAAGGCTTTGACAAGTTTTGAAGCTTGAGGAACCCAGGTTTTGCTCTACACTGGGTCTGCAGAGATCTAAACAAACAGCTTTGTCGCTGTATTAAATGATTACCTCTGTAATTAGAATTTGCCTCAGTAGGTTGCAAAGTAGCCTGTCAAATACATGTTCGCAGGACTAGCAAAAGCCCTTTTTTTGTTTTTGTTTTGTTTTTTTCTTATTAGAAGGCAGACTTGGATTTATTCCTACAAATTCAGGTATAAATGTTTCAGTCCTTTAGAAGAGGTGGTTGGTTTCTGCATCGCTGAATTTGAGACCTACCTCAGGAAGGTGGTTAATTCAACACGAAAAGCATTCAGTTCATAGCCTCATGTTGTACGTGTGAGGCCGGTGGAAGATTCTGTTCTTTTTAAGTGGCTTTTCTAGACGTGACGTTTTTGCTTTATGGCAGATTGTGGAAGTCAGTCAGGGAACAAAGGGAAATAAATACTGATGGGATATGTTTGATGAGGAATCGTTGAAGTGGTCAGATGAAGCTCATCTTGTTGACTTCCCGTTCAGAAGGCAGGAAACTGATGATGCTCCAGTACTTAGACGTTATGTGGCACGCGAGTGTGAACAGTAAGAGCAGCCCCCCTTTCAAGTTAGAAATCAACAAGTTTGAAATAAAAAGTAACACTACACAGATTTTATCAATTTTTTTTTTTTTAGACAGGTGTAAAGAAGGTACAGAACAGAGTATGTCTTGCTAGCAGATTTTTTGTGTTCATTGTATTCATATTGCAGCAATCTTTATAGAAAGTATCTGTATGTACTACAAACAAAATGCCTAACCTTGCAGGGGGTTGGTTAAAATGTAGCACCAGCAGCAGCCTGACCCTCTCTTGTATCATTTTTCAGTTGAGTTTGTTACACACTGTTAATTGTTCCTTCAGATTTGTACCAGCACCTTACCACAACCCCTTTGTGGCTTCACCAGGAAAAGGTGCTGGAAGAGGAGTAGGCTCTTTGCCAGCTCACCCAAACTTCCGCACACAGCCCCTCGGAGGTGGGAGGCGCCGCAATCGTGCAGCTGCCGTGTTGAATATTTGAGGAGTTTATTTCAGGCTTTACAGAGGGCTTTTTGCCCATTAGAAATCAGCGTCATCTGTGGCTCCTTTCCCATCCAGGTCAGCAGTTTGTATCTTGCCTAGCTACTTAGATTTGGTTACTACCTGGTGTATCTCCTTGGCCCACGCTAAGTGAAGTGGTTGCACAATCCCCGTCCCATCGCAGCAGCAGAGGGAGGTACGTTAGCCGACAGCCGGTGCGCCCAAACCCCTTCCAGCTGACCGGGAGCCGGAGGGGAACGTCCGATCGGCTAACAAACGCCAAAATCGGTGGCAGGTCTTGGACAGGTAAAGCAGGCCCTGCCTCTGGTTTTGCCCAGCTGACTGACTAGGCGGGAGTGCCTCCCAGCTCAATAATCTCCACGCTCTTTTATGTTTTCATACAAAAAATTTAATAAATATTACTTTTCAAGATTTATTGCCAGGAACAACACATCAAAGATGCATTTTCATGTAACACTAATATCACAATACAAGGTATCTTCATGATCTCAGTGGTTAACCACCGAGATTACTATATGTTTATAAGCCTTTTGATCTTAAACATTGTAATAGCACTTTGATTTCCTCACTTGTTAAGGCGGGCAGTGTAATCTATGGCAAACCTACACAGTGATCTTACTGGACATTCTACTGTTCAAGTATTCAACGACTAGCTTATTAGAATACTCCCTAAATGCAGTAGATTACAAAAAAAGTCAAATCTACAAGTGGTTCAGTATTACATATTCATGGTGAGAAAAAAATAATTAGAATTTACAAAAGAAGATTGCCGTGTTTCCAACTTCACACGCTAATTTGATATTTTAGTTACATGCAACCCCTCACATTTCATCTACATAAAGTAATAGCTCAGGTTTGTTCCCTTACACTGCTTCTTAGCAGATTTTCTGCCTGTCACTCGTTTTTCAAGTCTAAAGCAGCAAAAAAAAGTTTTCTAGTCTAATTATCTAAACTGCCTCAGTCAGTACTTACAAATAGTCTTAAAGTGATACTATGGAAGGTGTTTCAAATGTTTGACATTGTACAAAAACCAGCATCAAGGCATGAAAGCCCATCCTATTAAAAATAAACTATTTTAGAACACCTTAGTTTTGGCATATAGGCAACACGTAACAAGAAAATAAATTCAAAATAGAGAAGCCACAAGCTTACAATGCTATCAAAAACCTTCAACTCTAAACACATACATATAAATAAAAAGGAATGATATTTTAAGGCTCTTGATTATTAAGTTAATAAATCAAATATACACAGTGATTAATAAAAAAAGAATTATTTACATATCTATACAAACTTCTATTTTTGACACATTTTCCTCTTTTAAATTCTTCATTTACCAGCAACTGCTGACAAGTTCCCCCCACCCGCCCCCAACAAAAATACAATAAAAAAATAAATAATAAACTTATTTTTGATAGTTGCTGTGGTTCTGAGCTGCAAAGGCACTTTCAAATACAGAACTAGTTGTACGTCACCATAAAACCAATATACAAAAAACTCAAATTCAATAAATATAAATAAAAGGTATTCTTCTAAAGAAACTGTATAAATCGGAACATCTGGCAGAGAAAAAAAAGTGAACACTAAGGAAGAGTGATAAGGCTATGTGATACCTTCTGGAACGTTTCCGTGATGTATCAGCTACAGCTGAATTGACAGGAGGGCACTTTTGACTAGTTTTGCATAGATGTGAAATGCAGCACTTGGTATTCCAGCCAACCACAGCAACTATCATTGCCAGTGTAAGCCAGCTTGTCAAAACTTAAATTAACACAGGGATTCTAAGTAAATAATAGCCTTCGACTCAAATATTACACAACAGTTTAAGAACTACAAGCTCTTGAGTGCCTTTATAATGATATTTAAAGGCCCTGCACGGCAGCACCCCACTGTCTGCTATACGATGTACTCCATTCGATTTAGGCTTTGTGCACTTTCCAAGTCTCTGTTGTCTTGTTTATTTGTCCAGTTCGGGTGTTTTGTGGGTGTGCTGTTGGGGGGCTTTTCATCTCTGTCTACCAAAGTGTACGCTGGCTGCTTGGCAAATCGGGCCTTCTGCTGGTGTTTGTCCATGTCGTCTTCCTCCACCTCGGAATTGTGTGTCCTTATTTTGGCGATTTTAGAGTTTTTGTTTTCGTAGTCTTTAATGGGGACAGTATTTGCTCCGTGTTTCTCAATGGGGTTTTTTATCTGGTTCAGCTGCTCCCTTACGTTGTTGGTAGTGTTGTCGTCGGACGCCGTGTGGGTATGGCTGCTCTGCTTTCTGCGCTTTCGAATGCACCAATAAAAAACAGTGACCAGGCAACAGATCCAGGCTACTGTGAGGACCGAGCTCAGCAACGGCACCAAGAAATCTGGAAGAGATACGAGAGCGGTTAACTCTGCTGTGAGCCAAGTGTTCCATCCCAGGCTTTCTACAAAGAAAACAAATCTCGGTTCTTAAGCCTTATTTTTTCACTGGGCTCCAGACGGTAATGCAAGGATAAGCTCGGCTCTGTTACAATACAGGGTGTTTAAAGCGAGTGTAGGACTCGGGAGTCCTGTCCGATAGCCTGCGTGGGACACATCTTCCTTGCACGCAGAGAGCCCGGCATCGCTGGCAGGAGCGGCGTGGGCTCCCCTGCGCTGCCCTGCCAGGGCCCCCAGCTCCGAGGGGACATCTACCCCCCCCCCGGGGGGGGTTGGCCCCACCCCCACCCCGGCGCCTTCTTCCGCCGCCGCA